GGCCAAGTGGCTATCTTCCAAATCTCTTGGAATAACCAAGTGAGTGCCTCCAGTGGGGCATCTGTTTGTTGAACCATTTCAAGGGGTGTTCCATCAATTCCGGAGCCTTGTTCTTTGCCATTTGCCCAGTGCCGCTTCAACTTCTTTCTTAAATATCATTGGTTCTTGATCATATGCCTCCTCCTGAAATGGATGAAGATCTATCAGTTCTTTTTGGTACAGTGACTCTGTGTATTCCATCTATCTTCTTTTGATGCTTTCTGCATCAAAATTTTGCCCATAGAATCTTTCAGTATTGCAATTCAAGGCATATTTTTTTTTTCCTCAGTTCTTTCAGCTTGAGAAATGCCAAGCATGTTCTTCCCTTTTGTTTTTCTCATTCTAAGCCTTTGCACATTTCATTACAGTAATTGGCTTTGTCTGTTTGAGCTGCTCTTTGAAATCTTCTGTTCAGCTCTTTTATCGAGTCAGTTCTTCCATTTGCTTTGGCTACTCTCCACTCAAGGGCAAGCTTCAGAGTCTCTTCTGTTATCCATTTGGTCTTTTCTTTTTTTCTCGTCTTTTTAATGACCTCTTGCTTTCTTCACGGATGATGTTCTTGATGTCATCCCGTAACTCTTCTGGTTTTCGGTCACTAGTGTTCAATGCATCAAATCCATTCTTAAGATGGTCTCTAAATCCAGGAGTGATATATTCAAGGTCATATTTTGGCTCTCATGGACTTAATTGTCTTCAACTTGAACTTGAACTTGCATATGAGCAGTTGGTGGTCTGTTCCACAATCAGCTCCTGGTCTTGTTTTGGCTGAAGATACTGAGCTTTTCCATCGTCTCTTATCACAGATGTGGTCAGTCTGATTCCTGTATATTCCAACTGGTGAAGTCCATGTGTATAGCCACTGTTTGTGTTGTTGAGAAAAGGTATTTGCAACGAATAAGTTGTTGGTCTTGCAAAATTCTAACACGCAATCTCCAGCATTATTTGTCACCAAGGTCAAATTTTCCAACTACCTGTGATTCTTCTTTGTTTCCAACTTTTGCATTCCAGTCATCAGTGATAATTAACACATCTTGATTGCATGTGTGGTCAATTTCAGACTGCAGAAGTTGATAAAATCTTCAATTTCCTCATCTTTGGCTCTGGTAGTTGGTGCATAAATTTGAAAAATAATCATATTAACTGGTCTTTGTTGTAGACATATGGATATTATCCTATCACTGACAGCACTGTACTTCAGGACAGATCTTGAAATATCCTTTGTGATAATGAATGACACACCATTTCTCTTCAAATTGTCATTTCCAGCATAGTAGGTCATATGGTTGTCTGATTCAAAATGGCCAAAACCAGTCCATTTCAGCTCACTAATGCCTTGGATATCAATCTTTATGTGTTCCATTTCATTTTTAACAGCTTCCAATTTCCCTAGATTCATACTTCGTACATCCCATGTTCTGATTATTAATGGATGCTTGCAGTAATTTCTCCTCAATTTGAGTCATGTCACATCAGCAAATGGAGGTCTCGAAAGCTTTATTTTATCCATATCAGTAAGGTTGGTTCTACTTTTATGATGCAGCACTTTCCCAGTCCTATTTTGAGAGCCTTCCAACCTAAGTGGCTTATCTGTATCAAACAGTGTTTCCAGGTTATTCATATAGTTATCTGGTAATGTAACAGAGAGTGTTTTTCTGCTATTCATAAGGTTTTCCCTGGCCAATTCTTTGAGAAGTGGATGGCCTCCTCCTTCTTCCTAGTCTGTCTCCGTCTGCAAGCCACACTGAAACCTGTGTACCATGTGCAACCATACTGGCATTTAAAACACCGGTGGCACAGCCTCAAGTCTCACAGCAACACGGCACCAAAGCATGACAAACTGACAGACAAGTTTGTCCCCCTTACCTGTTCGAAACCTCTCCACCCTCCCCTTACCAGGATCCCTGCTGCTTGCTCACTCTGCTCTGCATGCCCTGGCTTTCCTCTCCTCTCCCCTTCACTTTTCCTACCACTTGGGGTTAGAGCCTGGGTCCCTCCCCTTACCTGGATGCTTCTGCTACTTGCTCGCTCTGTTCTGGACACCCTGGCTTTCCTTTTCCCTCTGCTTTGGGGCTCATTTTCTCTCACTGAGAAGCGGACTCAATTCTCCCATACCCCAGTCTGGGCTGCCCATGGACACACGTTTGACAGAGGTGCAGCTGAAGTGACCTTCTGGGATTTGTGAAGCTAGGCCATAAAATGCCTTGAACACTCTCCTCCCACCCTGAGCTATGTAAGAGGTCTGACTAGCCTGTGGCTGTCATGCTTGAGAGACTACAAGGAGAAACAGTTGGAAAGGCCCTGAAATTGCACGAAGAGATAGAGGCCTTCAGCAAGTTCCCAGCTGCTCAGCTCCTAGCCATTGAGCTATCCCAGCTGTGGCTCCAGACATTGTAAGCAGGGACAAGTCTTTCCCACAGTGCCCTGTAGATATTCCTGACCCACAAAGTCATGGTGATTGTTTAAGCCAAAATAAAATGACAGTACTATTCCCTTACTGATAAACATTTACATTGTGCCCAATTTTCCTATATCACAAACCATCTTGTATTGTACTTGGTAAAAGGACATAGAAGTGGCATCTCCAGACCTCCTCCAATCTCAGGGGGGTGAGACAGAATCACCATCAACAGCCCAAGGCTTATTCTTATTCCTATTCCATGCTGCCACCCTTCAGCCTTTTTACCAATTGTTACATCCACTGTCCCTCGTCCTTCCACAGCACTCACTACTTTTCTGCTGGGTTCAAAAATTTGTTGCTATGGGCACACAGAACTCACAGACAATACTCACAATTATGGGGTTTATTATGGAAGTAACAGGTTACAATTCAGGTTCAGGAATGCTCTCAGGATACAATTCTTCAATCTGGACAGTCTCACCTCTGCTCAGCCCTCAGACATGCCTCTCTGGCCCTTGGTCTCTTGGCCTGGCCTCTGCCTTGGTTCGGCAAGTGGTACAAAGCTCTTTTAGCTCTGCCAATAGGTACACCTATGTGTACCTCACTCTGCCAGCAAGTCTCCTGCCCAAAGCTTTCTCTCTCTGTGGGCTGGAAAGCCCACTGCTCTGTCTTGTGCCCCTTGGTTTCTTAGCCAGGTCTCTGCTCAGTTGTCTCTCCTGGGTCATCTCTGCCAAGGAGATCCAGTGTAGGGATCTTGGGTTCAAGGACATGTTCCACTTCACCTCCAGCTCTTCTCTCTTGATGGCAGTGAGATCCCCCTCTGCCTCTAGGAGGGCTCATTTTAAGCCTGGCAGAGTGACAAAACTAACTGATCCCAATATCAGAGTTCTACACACCTTATTTGCTTGGTCCCATCCAGTAATCTGGTGGTAGTCACAAAGACTATGGCTTGAAAAGCCATACCAAAGAATTCACAGCAGCGCAGTACTTGTTTTTGCGTGTAGGTAAGGATTTCTCTAAGGAACTGTAGTGGCACAGTAGTTAAGGCATTCAGTTGTAGAGGCTGGTAAGTTCCAAATCCATTGGTCAAGCATCAACCTGGAGGCTCCTGGCTTATGTGGTTGCAAAGGCTGATGAACTTACAACCAATAGGTTAGATGACAGGCTGCTGGCGCATGGGGCTGTGGAAGCTGGTGAGATGGCAAATCAGCAGGTCAGATGGCAGGCTACTGGCTCACAGGGCTGCAGAAGTGGCAAATCCCAGACTTGGCAGGCCGAGCCTCAAGAGCTGGAGGTCAGATGACGAGCTGCATGCAGGATTCAGAGCAAGGGAGTGCCTTGCCAGAGTGTCTATATATATTGGATGCAGGTCAGACCCACAAGGAAACTCTCCTTGCATCAAAGGAGGGTACGAAGGGTGTGACTCATGTAAGGGTATGACTTTAGTTTTCTTGCAAGGCTGTGACTTAAGATGCACCCCACACTAATCCTATCTCATTAACATTTAGAAGTTAGGGTTTACAACACATACATGGAGGACAATTACCTAATATCTCAAAGTGGAGGATAATTACATAAGATCACAAAATGAGATACACCACACAATACTGAGAATCATGGCCTAGCCAAGTTGACACATGATAAGCTAATCACCAGCTGGAAACAAGTAGAAATTTGCCTTTTAGTGTAGAGTACAAAACCCAAGGAGGGGTCGCTATGAGTCGGGGCCGACTCGATGGCAAATAACAACAACAACAACAACAGTTTGAAACTGCAAATTTTTGTTTCACCTCAAATTTTAGCATTATTACTAGATCTTGCCAGCAACAATTACTGTGATGTTGCAATGGTGACTTTCCATTTCACTCATTTTTTTCCCACGTTTATTAACTGGAATTCTTCTTACCATTTTTTTTTTTTAACCCACTTATATATATCACTATGGACTCATGGATATTTATTTTATTCTATGGGCTATGATCTCATCCGTTAATAATCTGTATGCTCAATATACAACACGATTTAAATGGCAGAGTAGTATTCCAGCTGCATGTCTGTGCCATGACTTACTGAACCAAGTATTCTATAGTGGGCGTTTAGGTTGTTTCCAGTTCTATGATACTATTAGTGATGTCTAATATACATAAACCTTTGAAGTTTTTTTTTTTTTTGGATGTTGGACAAATTTATGCTCGTGCTTTTATTTTGATCTAGGAAGAGAAATTTCCAACACGAAAATCACACACTCCAGACTACCCAGCTGCTAGCAGAGAGGCAGTGGATCCGAGAGCTCACTAAGGATCCAGCAAGTAGGGTTACTTACAGCAGTTGCCAATAATTTGAACAACGCGTATCAATAAAGTTTTTGACATGGACGAAGAAACTTCCGGTAGGGGCATTTCTACTTCCGTTTAGACCTGTAGCCTTCGCCCTCTACTTCTACATCCCAACCGGAAATATTTTTACTCCATTTAAAGCCACGTATGTCCTGGCCTCGGTCCCACCCATAAACTGTGGAAGCGTTTCCGGGGTCACGTTATTCCGGTTCTCTCCGTCTCGCCGCCGGTGCCCTGCTGGAAGATCCCGCGCTCCCGGAAGTGGTCGGGGCCTCCCTGTCGGTGTCCCCACCACCCGGGTGCTCCTGAGGGCCCCGGTGCGGCGGCGATGGCCGAAGCAGCGTTGCTGTTGCTGCCGGAGGCGGCGGCGGAGCGGGACGCTCGGGAGAAGCTCGCTCTCTGGGATCGGAGACCGGACACCACGGCGCCGCTGACCGACAGGCAGACAGACTCAGTGCTGGAGTTGAAGGCGGCGGCAGAGAATCTGCCTGTGCCAACAGGGGTGAGGGGACGGGCGGGAACAGGGCTGGAGCGGGGGGTAGGTGGGGCTGAGATGTTCGTCGGGCGGGTAGGCGGGAGCCTTACCTTTTTCCGTTTGCTCATCCCTGCACAGAATCTGTCTCTTTCCTCTTCCCCGGTCACGTTGGAGGTTCCAATGGCAGAAGCCCTAGCAGGGGCTGTCAAATTTCTGCAGGCGACCGTCAACCCTCCTCTTCCGCCTGGGGCTGCTGTGGGGGCGTCCACTGTCTGGTGTTCGCTAGCGCCCAACTCCTGTTACGTGGGACGGTTGGCCGGGAGCCTTGCTCCGGGCGTCCCTGGTGTCATCTGAGTCATAATCTTGCTGTCCACCTTCTCCCTCAACCAGAGGTGCAGGATAGGCTCGTATTGGTGATGTTCGTATACCAACTTAATGAATTGTCCATCTTCTTTTTCTTTCGAGGGGCATTGGAGAGACCAGAACTTGATCCTGATGGACAGTTTCATTGATCATAGATTAAACAGTGGGCACGTTCTCGGTTACGTACATATCATGAGAGATCAGACTGATTTGGTCTATCTGAAAGCAACACGAACGTATTTGATTTGAAAGCTGGGTCAGTACGTTATTAGATAATGCTCGTTTTTGTTTTTAATGGCAGTGTTTTAAATCTCAGTGACGAGTTATGTATGTATTATTGCTTCTTGTGTGATTCATTTAATTAGCTGTAATAGCAAGAAGCATGTTTCATGAATTGCCAGATATTTAAACTTTTTCTGTTTTTGAGGGCCACGTTTCAAAAGATTATTTTATATGGGGTGATGGTTACTTCTGATTTTGGAAGCATTCTTCTTATACGATTTAGAAAGCCCCAAAGGCAGATTGAATTTAGAGACTTTTTTTTTTTTTTGACCTCAGACTTTATAGGTTAAGAATTTGATTAAAAGTTCTCTCCACTTTCACTGTTGCATGCTTTGCGCTGAAATACAGGTGCTCTTTCTGGAGTTTCTCCGCCCACCTCTAGGATGCTGTGCCGGAAGTAGGTCTGGAATAAATGAGGAAGCAGGTGGAAATTTCTTTGGCTTGTTATCAAGGTCTTTCATGCTCTGGATAAAAGTTAGAAGTTGTTTGCTCTATAAATTTTCCAATCTGTTTTTAATTGACTTGGTCTGTAACTGAGGCAGGACTTCTCCTTGGACTCCATAGCACCTGGGGGAACCTAGTCTAAGAGAAAAGTAACCCAATTTGTTTTGATTGTCACAGGTCTTAAAGTACTGTTTCTATTCTCTTATAGCATGAAGGAGAAGATTTGGAGTGAACCAGATGTGACCTTTTCATTTTTACTCCATTCTTAAATATTTGTGCAATATAGTACAAATATAACACATTATTAAATATAACACATTATTATTAACTGTGGGTTAGGAATTTGGGTTAGAAAGATGAATAAGAAAGACATCATGCCTGGTCTCGTTAAGTGAATTGTAGTGATCAGGAGCTTGTAAAAATAGATCAAAGAAGGTAGAGTCAGATAGTGATGTGGAATAGAAGGAAAATAAAACAGGATGGAGTGGCAGAAAGGGATGAGGTGTGCCCTTTTAGAAAGAAGGAAAGGCCTTTCTAAGAAAGTGACTGGAGGTGAGATCTGAATGATAGGAAACAAGAAGCAGCCTTGCAAAGACTAGATAAAGAACATTCCAGCTGGAGAAAAAAGCAATATAAAGGTCATGAATAGAGGACAAATTGACAAGTTCAAGGATTCAGTGAGCATCTGGTTCTTGCAGCCTTGGTATTGCTTCCTGTGAGGATGAGATTGACAGTCTGGTGTTTACCCCTTCTGGAATCTCTGAGGGAAAGTTGTCACTGCTGTTCAGCTTTCTGCTGTTCATTTTCTTTTACTAAGTGTTTATATATCTGGTGTTAAGACTTTGGAATTGAATTTTTATCCCTGTTACCACTCTTTTAACATTGGGGCTGAAAAAAGTTTCATAATTTTTATTTTGCCCAACCAACGTATCTCTAAAGGATTTTCTGTAGTGTTTCACAGTTGTCACAAGATAAATTATGTTCTGAACTACTGGAGCTAGGCAGATTAGTTAAATAACAAGAGACCAGCTAACTCAGTAAATATCATAAAGATGATAACTTCTTTAGAAAATGGCTTTCTCTTATTAACAGCTGGTCTTATCTTGCAAAGGTTTTATACCTTTTTTGTTTTTTGAGTCATACCTTTTTATTTGGCTTTAGATGAAATAGTTTGCAGTAGAATATTAGGTGGACTTGTTTCTTGTGCCCAGGGCAAGTTTTCAGTAGTTAGGATGCTTTTTTTTTTTCTTCCTCTGCTAAACTAGTATAATTCTTAATAAAAGGCTAAAATAATTTGTCTTGAACTTGAAGGTAATACTGTCACAGGAGTTGTTTTCTTATAGGCTGTGTGATCTTAGACATAATATTTAACTTCTCTGAGCCTCAGTTTCCTTCTTTATAAAATGGAGATTATAATAGTACTTAGCTCTTGGTGATTTGTAAGAATAATGTGAAGAGTGCACATAGCAAGTTATTTACTAATAGCTTTTTTTTTTTTTTTTCCAAATGATCCAGAAAACCAAACCAAACCCACTGCCAACAAGTCGATTCTGACTCATAGCGACCCCTATTGGGTTTCCAA